ATGCGCGCGAAACAGGTCAGTTCCGGTTATTTTTGGGTCCCCCCTCGTATGGTGTTTATTAGTTTTGTCAGTGTTTTCAAACCACCTTCTCCCAGTAACTTAAGCACATCTCCAGGTACATCATCATCATCATCTCCTGTCGCCTTTCCATTCCTCATGTCCTTGATATCTTTTTCCACCTCACTTTGTAAAATATATGGTCCTTTCTCGTCTGCATCTACTTCTTCTCCCGGTTCCACTTCTGGCCGATTAGGTCGATCATATAGTTCTGTAATATAATTTTACCAAATTTTCAGCACTTGCCTCTGATCTACTATTCTATTCCCCTGGGAGACTTCGATGCCAATATTTTGAATCCCATGGTTCTCTTCCCATCCTAGTTCTTTTGTCTTCATGTACATCAAATCATAACGTCCTGTCCTTCGAAATTCTATAATCTCATTACATATCTTCTCAAGATATTCCTTTTTGGCCCTGTCCATGGCTCTTTTCAATTCATTCCTCAGTCTCCTGTATTTCCTCCTGCCTTCTTCATTGTTTACATTCTTCCATTTCCTTTGCTCCTCCATTTTACTCATCATCTCCTGTGTAACCCACGGTTTTCTTGCTATCTTTTCAACTTTACCAACCAAACCACTGACAGTATCTAACATGTATTCTTTTATATTGTTCCACTGCACTTCAGCATTTCCACTTTCACTTTCAATTGCACTAAGTTACTCTTCCAGGGTCTCCTGCACGCTTTGTCTTTGAGCATATAACTTCTCCAAATCCCATCTAGGTCTGCACTTTTGGAATCTTATAATTTTCTTCAACCTGGTTCGAAACTTGGCAACCTATTTGGTCTATGAAACCAATAATGAAAATATTTACATGACCATATATTTAAAGATATAGCTGCAGGTTCAAACCATATGAGAATTTTATGAGTTATTTTAACATTAATAAAAGGTAATCTTAAAGTAAATGTTATTTATAAAATATATATATGGCATTTTAAGACTCTACCTGAAATCTATTTGGTTTTCACAGTTTAAACCCTACAACAGCTTTTGTCAGAAGATCTAAAGATTTATGACATGGTGACCCCTCCCCTTAAAATAATATATAAATTTATGTATCCCACCAAGGTCCCTATCAGGTGGCATGGTGACTTCCTGTACAGTCAAGCAATGTGTAGTTCTACACACTTTAGGCTCTACAGTGACAGCAAGAACTTAAACAGCTTTATAGTCTCAGTATGCTATAAAATGTTCCTATACTGTCATGAAAGGTGCAGTTCTGCACATTGTTGTAGGTCCCTATCAGGCTGTATGGTGACTGCAGGAACCTAAATAGCTTTGCAGCCTCTCTACACTTAGAGTAAGCTACAAAATGTTCCTGTAGTCATGAAAATATTTGTAGAATGTTTCACTGAATGCAGCTGCATTTCCAAAAGCACATAAACTAGATGTGACTTGTAAAACTGTGCATGGATACAATCCTTTTGAATAATTCTTCAGAACTTGGTGTCCCCTCCCCTCTTACAGGAAGATGCAACCACAGAGGGGTTGTGACCAACAGTTTGAGAAATCATGGCTTATAAAATTGTGTGAGGTGCTCTTCATCGAGTTCCCAGGATCAAAACATTTTCAGATTGAATGAAGTTATATATTAAGTGTTGCATCTGGATGATTACAAAAGCCATCAACAATATACTACCTTGTAAAACTATAATGTTGTCCCTATGCTTAATTAATTAAGCACTATGCCATTAAGACATGAGGGAGTGGAGGTAGAGCTCCACTGTTCTTGACCTCAGCACTAAATGAAGATGAGTGGTCAGCTTCACACCCTGGCCACTTTACCCCAGGAAAAAAGCCCTTGGTATCCATAAGCCCTGGAGCCAGTCTGCATGCTGTGGAGAAGAATCCAGTCCACAGCCTTTTGCTTTACTGACTCTATTAGTTGTATAAATATTCTAAAAACGTACTTGACACCAGTGTCCATTAACTTGCCTGTAGTCAGTCAGTATATTACTTAAGCTCTGTTGAGATGGTATATTTATACCAAAGGGTATCCTATACATCATGTAATGGCACTCCTAATATAGCACTGTTTGTAAATGACAACAGAAAACTCAAACTCAAACATTACTGTCTTCTGGGTGTGACATCATGTAATCTGGTAATGATCTATCACATTACATGGGGTCACATCCAGGAAATAGTAATCTCCACAGATACAGCTATGAATACTCCAAATTTCACACATTCCAGCATTGTCCCTAAACCTACATGGAAGCACAAAACAATTCAAATGTATTCAGAATGCGGTTGTGTTACTACAGCAGCTATCGTACAAAAATTTTGTGTTCTGGCAAGCAAAACTGCTACGCACAGTTCAATCATGTTTACCGTATTTCCAGAGAGTTTGCTACATGTCCCTGGGGACAGTTGGTTGGTAAAGTCATGGCCCCAAATGTGAGAGAAGGGCTGATGCTACTTCCGATCACATCATGACTAGAAATCAGCAGGTTCTCCACAGACTTACGCCTGTAAGTACACAACGCACCTCCACTGGATACCCAAGGAACACTGTACTACTGCCACATGAGCCTAAATCCATATAATAAACACCTAACGTATATTGAACTGAAATAAATCTAATATAATTGTCTGATCTCCTAAACGTATTCAAAATGGTTTTCTGAGATGTGACACCATGCAGTACAGCGGGCAGGTGCCAATACTTCAGTGGAATGATGCTACCTGCCTATCAAACCACATAATGTAACATTTCAGGACAATGTAATCTTAATGTTCACTGTCATAAGACCCTCACATCTAATACTCCTAACATATTAATGAATTTTCGGTTTTCTCAAGTTACCATATTCATGTCTTGTATCCAGAATACAGGACAGAACTATCCATGATATTACAAAGTTAAACATTTTTTGTGAGTCAGCATTTCCACTGATAATAATATCTGTATGGATATTAGTAAAATTAATATGCATTTTTAAAACTACATACTTCATTTGTAACATCCTTGCAGTTAACATACCTTTCTTTCTAAACTGACACTTCCTGAAAATTTACAGAAGAATGATTATACAGTCAACTCTCGATTATCCAGGATAATGGTGGAGATGGAAATCACGATTAATCGAAAACCCGGTTAAGACAAATTTTATTAAAAGTAGTACTGCAATAATGTACCTTCATAATACTATAGGCCTACCTGTATTTAAATTTATTCAACCTCATTTTTATGTCATCTCATGGCCTATTTAATACTTTTTTTACATTACACTGAAATATGAATTAGTTATTTCAATCACAGTCTTCAACAACATCGAACATTTTTTTACGAATATTCACACTTAACACTTAAAAAAAATTTAATATTGTCGTTTTCGTGGCATTTTCCTTTTTCTGTTGAATACTTAACACAACATGCTTCCTTTTACACCCTGACATTTTGCTAACGCACTTGAAGATCTATACAAAGATACTAACTGGGGCGATGTATCTGTCCTTGAAACTTTCCACAAATCCTTGCATTCTTTCACCCCTACCCTAGAACATTGTGTTAGCATAACGGGACCAAAGAATGCAGAGCTCGGTTCACACTAGTGCAAAAATAGTGTTACAACTCGCTATGTGAAACAAAAGTAAATAAATATTAAACAACATAAGCCTCAGTAGCGCCGGTTAAGCCGCAAACCGGTTAATCCGCCCCCGGATAATCGAGAGTTGACTGTATTGTCATGCTACTGATCATCATGATATCATCCTGAAACCAATTTTAACATTCTTCTCCCATGTTCCCTTTTCTTCTGGACAGTCAGGGCTGTAGTTGAGCCAGGGCAGTGCTCCAGTACTCTTTTGTATATTGGGGCTGCATTGCTTTTAAGGCAGTGATGTCAAACATAAAGTTCATATAGCCTGTCTTATTTCTAACCTCTCCACTTTCAGTTGAAAGTCAGTCTCTGTATATAGATTTTGTGAGCTATTTATTGTTCAATTCTGCATTTAAAAATGTAAATCCATCATTAAGAACAGCCTCATGTCATAACTCATGGCCAATTTTTAAACTGCATGTCTGCCTTCCAGGGCTCTTTTATGTTTAGGAATACACCCATACAAAGTCTCTTCAGATGAAGTTAACTAGCCAAAATCTTGTAGTAATTTCTTGCTTCCTCATCAAACAAATTCAGATATGTTCATGATCATCGGTACTTAGTATCCAGCACAAAAAAATATTATTATTCTGAAAAAGATTACTGTCTTCTGGGATCTTATGCTATGTAGTCCGGTAGGCAGAACTGCTGTCACCATCTCCAGGAAAAAAAAAGGAAGCCAAGCATGGAAAAAATGAAACAGATATAGTGAAATGTAGGACCAGACCCTGAGTAAAGCAATACAAATAAAAAAAAAAGCATAATCTTTCAAGAACACAGTGAATTGGAGAAATCCTGAGTGAACCAACAGAAAGCAGAGGGAAGTTAGGACAGAGTAAGAAAGCAGTACCCTTCAGAGGACCATTTTTCAAGGGCAGAAGGAATGAGGGAATAGAGAAAGCACTGGCACAGTAAAGGGGGGGAAAAAGAAAAGGAAAAAGACAGATAATAAAATAAATAAAAACAGGGACTTCAGTGAACCAAACGGAGTAGAGGGCAGCTGAAGGTTATCCTGAAGGCCAAGACAGCAGGCTCCCTCAAAATGCTGGTATCCATCAAACAAACTTCACAGTATCACATCCTAGAAGACAGTTATCTTCAGTCACTGCCCTGAGAACATCAACCTCAACTACATTTCTTGGTCCACAAACAGAGAATTACTTCACACACTGAATATATTATCACTAAACCAATTTCAGCTTGCTTTGCTATGAGAACAGCCAAATCACTAACAAAAATAGATACTGCACTTTTAAAATTAGTTCACTGTACTTATTACCACTCTATCATACAACATAATCATCTGGCAATATTCAACAGACAGCACAAAAGTATTCAGTGTCCAAAACAAAATCACTAGAATAATGGCAGCCTCCAGTACAAAATTATTTTAAAAATCTAATATACTTCTCCTGGCCAATGGATTATTGCCCTCATTTCTGTCAGTCATTGTGGGCATACGGAAAGTTTCAAATTCAAATATATGCAATACAAACACATGACAAGACACAAGTATGACCTCCATATGACAAATGATGTACTACATGTTATCAAGTTAGTCAGCAATCAGTGTGATATTAAAGCATTTAAGCCAGCTTTACAAGTTTACTCTACATAAGTTATTTTAAAATTCTGAAATGCTGTAAATGTGTATGTAGACATCTATAAATAACTGTAACTTATGTATCTATCTATATTTGTGTTTAAATTAATTATTTGTATAATGATACATTCTACATCCTTCACTTAAACTATGAAGTATCTATGCAATGTAAAGATACTCTACTTCTAATTCTAGCAGACTTTTCAGTTTAAATTAATTAAAATTATTACATGAGCTGCATGGACTTACTACATTCTACTGTGTGGTAAAGGTCTAAAGAATCAGCATTCAGATCATGTATGCTGTCCCTGATGCTTAAAACTCAGATCACATTACAGTGCCACACATTTCCTATGCTATGCCATATCCGTCATGCTCACTACTATTCAGGGATAACAACATTGTCCAAAAGTCACAAAGAAATTTTTGGGTGTTATGTGAATGTTATATCTGTCCATCTATATGTGATCTAGTACTAGAACCTAAACTATCTGAAAGATTTCTTCAAACTTAATATGTGAAATTTTCAATAAAAGATGGGAAATTCTGATTTCTGTCTATATCAATCCACGACAAAGCCTATTACGGCCATATACTGATTTTTAAATCTATTCCATAAGGAATTTCACATTTGTTCCAAAATCTGATACAGAAATTGCACTTCATTATTCCAATTATTATATATAATAAACTTCAAAGACTGCCATTGGTAATTCTGTGTATTACATTATGGAGCATATCCTTTCCAAAGGCCACACCATCCGAGCCATAGCTCAAGCGGTTAGTCGCTGGCTTCCCACTGCAGCAGCCCAGGGTCAAACCCGGGTCTGGTCAAGTGGGATTTGTGGTGGACAAAGTGAGGCTGGGGCAGGTTTCCTCCAAGTACTTCGGTTTCCCCTGCCAATCTTCATTCCACCAATTGCTCCACAATCATCCTCACCTATCATCTGGGGTTGGTACAATAGGCCAGAAGTGGCCACAGTATAATGGACTTAGTCCCACTCCACTAGCTCAAGCAGTTAGTGGCTGGCTTCCCACTGCGGGGGCCCAGGTTCAAACCCGGGTCTGGTCAAGTGGGATTTGTGGTGGACAAAGTGGCGCTGGGACAGGTTTTCTCTGAGTACTTCGGTTTCCCCTGCCAATCTTCATTCCACCAAATTCTCCATCATCATAATCACCTGGGGCAGGCTACAATAGGCCAATCAGTGGCCACCATGCTGAGAGGACCCAGTTGGACTCTACACCCTTTCCAAATTTGTTACATCACAACTGAATGGAAAGGGGTTATGATGATGCTGATCATGTTACGTTTGGTTAGTTGTCAGTTTAATCTAGTTAACCATTTCTGACACTGTTTCATTTACTTTTCGCAAGTTTTCAATACTTCTGTATTTTGTAATGAGCCTAGCTTGGTGTGACAGCCTGAAATGTGATCTTACATTTTGCAAACCAAATAATTTAAAGCAGGGCTCAAAAATTTTTTGCATGCAAGAAATACTTTCAATTTGACTAGAGCTCCCTGGTACACTTATTTCATTTAATGTTACTATTTTTAGTAGGCGATGAAAACATATAAAAATACAGGTTTCATTGGTAAATCTGAAGCTCAAATATTAATATTTATTTCATAAGTTACATCAAATTCTATATAACAGGATATAAAATTTTACAAACATGAAAATTTAACAATACAGACATCACATCAAAAGAAGATTACATACTACTACAAAATAATATGAAAAACATACTAATATGCATTTATCTCAAAAAATGATAAAGTATTACATTGCATTCTGTAAATTTACATATATAACTACTAACAGTTAACCTTTAACTTAGGTCCAAGTGGACATCTGTAAGGCAGGAGCAATATTTCAGCCTAGCAATATTCATTATCAAGAAAGCAGATTTATTTAAGTAAAACTTAAACAGAACTGGACAACTAAGGATAACGCTAATTTGTGAGGTTTGGATACTTTCATCATTCATTACATTCCAGGAAGTAACTCCTGAAAATTATACAAATTAGAAGTAACACAATTACTACTACTCTCCCATGCATTGACAGTCTACCCAAAATTGGCCTGTGCTCCACTGAGAGACCATGATTGATGTCTTGCCTAACTCCTGATTTAAAGAAGCAGTTTACAATTTCAATCTTCACTTTTCAGAAGAATAAAACGCTGAACTAGATTACAGCAAATAAGATCTAAAAGTTTGTGATGATGGTAAATTGTTACAAGTAATATGTTTTTGGACATTATCCATCATCTTGTCTGTTCTTAAAAAATCATCCTGTTTCTTTTAAAAACACAATGTTTCGGGGACAGGGGCTAGGTTTTACCTGAGGACGGGGGCAGAATCCAGTCCCCGAAACGTTGTTTTTAAAAGTAACAGGATGGTTTTTTAAGACTAGACAAGATGATGGATAATGTCCAAAAACATAATACTTGTAGTTTACAGCAATTTTGTGGTCAAACAAAATTCAGCTACAAACTGGCCTGTTCAGAAACATCAGCATTATGCTGAACAAATGGGATCAGAAGCAACCAAACAGGAACCAAAAGGAACATTTTCTACATTCCCAATCAATGTCAGCATATAAGCAGTATTCTCTGTGTTACAGGGTTGAGTAGTGACTTACATGATGGATCGCTTGCGAGGGTCCTCCATTTTTCTCTGCTCTCTCACTCCCCCCATAGACCACCCTGAAGACACATGATATCAAATACCATGTGGAGTAACTGACATCAAACATTGCAGAAGCAAAATATAATGACAATTTCACAACAGAATATGAACGAATGTAACTTACAAAAGACCCAAAATATTATACAGACATCAAATTTTCATATAATGTACAGAAAAGGCAACTTAATTAATTTAAGTTGTTTTTACTTTCATTTCAAGTAATTTCCACAGGAAAGGTTTATCAAAATATGCATGGAGGTTCTGTTATCATTCCCACTCACATGTCAGAATCTGATGTTCAAGATATCAGACTAAATAGGGTAAACTAAAGATATTAGTAAAATTCATGACTCAACAAATATTGTTTCAGTTCAACAGTTAAAGATATTAGTAAAATTCAGGACTCAACAAATATTGTTTCGGTTCAACAGTCAATGGAATGAACATTTCATTAACCATAAAACTCAACTCACTCCAGACAGTCTATTTTATTTATGGTTTATTTAAAGATGTTGTCAGTAGCTGAGAATGGCTACAGCCAAATGGCAGGATGAGTAATAAATAAAGAATTGGAAAGGATATGGTACAAAGCAGTGTCAGTTTGTTTTGATTTTAATATTATATTGTAGCAACCTGTTCCACACTATTAATTAATTAAGAAATGTCTTTGATGCTCCATCTCACATGCAACACTTTTTAAAATTTTTGTTTAAATGTTACTACATATAGTATACATAATGCATCTTTTAAACTTCTTTAAAAACCACACTGTCCACTACATGTTATTTTCATTGTTAGTATTTGTATTGCAAAATAAAGTTCTTTTTCCATCAAACACTGATTCTCATACTATTGATACTAGACAAAGACAAGATTTGTATTTACCTCAAGCTAATTTAACTATTTATCAAAAAGGAGTTTATTATGCGGGTATAAAAATAATCAATAAATTGCCCATAGAGATCAAGAACACATCTAATAATTTTAAAAAGTTTAAGATTGTATTAAGGCATTTCTTGAACACTCATACATTTCATACTGTAGACGAATATCTAAATAGATAACTTTTATTACTGTTGTATTCATTGTACTGTCTAGTTGTGTAATACCTATGTATGTATTCTATGCTCTATATTATTTTATGACATGTTCTATATCCATCTTTGGATCTCTTGAACTTACAATAAATACATTACAAATAAGTTTAAAAGATGCATTATGTACATATGTAGTAATTTTTAAACAATTATTTTTTAAAAAGTGTTGCATGTGAGATGGAACATCAGAAACATTAGTTTTGATATACTATTCTGCCATTTGCCTAGAGGGACTGAACAAAACCATCAAACAGCCCAGTCAAGACAGACCATCTCCAGGCCAAGACTTGACTGGGGTCTCCTGAATATGAAAGAGACTGCTACACACTCAACCACAATTTTCGGTCCATCGCAGATAAATAAGAAGCATTTCTGTGTAAGCCCTCTCAGTGTTATTTAATGAAAATTGTATTTTCATATATCATCTAATCACACCTTCTTTACTAATGAAATGGAAGCAAAGCAAAAGAAAAAACCCTTAGACTTGAGCGTAGCTATAGTAGGTAAACCTGAAAAAGACACTGGAAGGTCAAGGGCCTGCAATCTGATGAACCAGTATATAAAATACAGTTCTCTTTTGTAACATTCCAAATTCTTTCTTTACATTTAATGCAGATTTCCTGCAGACAGAAAAAAGTTATGTATACCATTTGCAGATACCATAAACACTGTTCTAAAACCCTCTTGAGCTATATTCAGTCTGATGCTGTAAAAGACTCTGCAATAAAGATAACAGCCACACACACACCCGTTTCTTCGCCAAGATATGAACTAGCAATCTCGCCATAAGCATGCCAGTATCATCCTCTACAAACACCGTTACTGGAGCTATAGTGAACTCGAACTCCAATTCTATACATTAAGTTATATATATTCTCTACAATATAAAAGTACTGCTGTATTGTGGTTAAAAATCCGGAACTACCATAGGCTGCATAATGACAATACGATTTCAGTTTGATCCAGATGTACAGTATAAAAAAAATCAGTTTTGCAACATGAGGGGAAAGAAGTTACTTACGTCAAGTTTCAAAACTAAATGTCAAAGACTCCTTTGCTTCTTTCCAAGTCTTTTTTGGGAAAGGTAGCAAACAGGGAAAAACATACTACACAATTCTGCATATAATCTGCATAAAGTACTGCTGCAACATTTGCAATGCATACTAGTACGTTGGAAATCAAGAACAAACATTACATCTATGAGAACATAAGAAATCAAGAATATGTATTTCGTTGCACTTCCTTCCAAAATCAATCACTGACCAGGCAACTTACATTAATCCAGCTGCAGTACACTGAACTTCAATGTCGTTCATAGTATAGTCGCCTGGACAGAACTTTGAACTCTAGGGAGATATTCCTCCTTGGCTTTCAAACACACTTCATAGTTACTGTAAAAATAATGGGCAGCTATTTAGCTCGGATTCATGCCTACATAATTAGGTGAAATCGTATTTCCGTATATCGGGTTTCATCGGGAATATAATCTTTCTATCGTAATTGCCTACGTTCAACCTTACTAAATTATTCTGCCATCTTACAGATAATCACAGCACTGTCTACATCTATGTACTAAAATGAACATACTCGTGTACCTCCTACAATCTTGCAAATTCTCTACTCTTGTGCCGTATAATCTGTGGCTGCAGGAAAATCGATAGATGATAATATGAGAGCAACGAAAGATCCGTGACGACGAACTTCATGTATATTGTAACATGACGGCTGTGAGAAACAGCATACTAGAGCGCAACTGGGAATCCGCCAACGGACGATATCAAATACCAGAGATAATTATTCCTCGGAGCAGGGTGAAGGACGTGCTGACCGAGCTACACAGTGGACCGTCAGGAGCCACTAAAACCCAAAATAAGTTTGGGCAGCGGTACTACTGGCTCCAAGCGAGGAGAGACATCGAAAAATGGTGCTGACACTGCGACATCTGCGCCGCCAGCCGTGGCCCACGGACCAGAAACAGGGGCCAAATGCAACAGTACAATGTCGGAGCCCCGTTCGAAAGGATAGCAATTGATGCAGCTGAACCCTTCCCGCTGAGCGAACATGGAAACCGATATCTCTTGATCGCAATGGACTATTTCATAAAATGGCCGGAAGCCTACGCCATCCTAAGCCAGGAGGCGTCGACAATAGCAGAAGTTCTCGTCACCAACTTCTGCCGCTTCGGCATACCTCGAGAGTTGCATGGTGACCAAGGCCGTAACTTCGAGTCTCGTCTGCTACAAGAAGTTTTGCAACGCCTGGGAGTGAGCAAGACGCGCACCATGCCCCTGCCCCCGCAGTCTGACGGCATGGTGTAACACTGGAACGCTACATTAAAGCCATCGAGGAACATTTACGTAGGGTCGTCGCATCCCACCAGAGGGACTGGGATGAGAGGTTACCCCTCTTCCTCCTAGCTTACAGGGCATCCACTCACGACACTATGGGCTTGACCCCAGCTAACCTAGTGTTCGGACGAGAATTCCGACTACCCTGCGATCTACTGTTTGGAGTACCCCCAGACAAGGAACTACCCACAACCGACTATGCGGCAGACTTAGTGGATCATCTACAAGACATCCACAATTATGCCCGGCAACACCTGAAGCTCGTCAGTGACCGAATGAAAACTCGGTACGATAAACTAGCCAACTCCACTGGGTTCCACGAAGACGACAGTGTGTGGCTATACCGCCCAGCCCGCAAAAAAGGGAAATCACCGAAACTTCAATCCTCGTGGGAAGGCCCTTACAAGGCAGTAAACCGAATAAATGACATAGTATACAGAATCCAGAAGAGCTCTAGGTCGAAGATGTTGGTAGTACACCTGGACTGGCTCCCGCCCTACTACGGAGCTGCTCGGGATGAGCACCCATGAAGAAGGTCGGCGGAGGCAGCGCCCCCGAAGACGAACGCCAAAAGAAAGGAAATACCGTTAGACTGTTCGGGACGAACAGCCTTTAGAAGGGAGCAATGTAACGTGCTATCTTATGGTCATCGCTGCGCAACGGCCACAATAGGAAGTTAACAGCCTACAATAAGACTCTACGGTTATGATGAATACCTGGAGAGTTTCCACAGCGACAACGCAATAACAGTGGGCCATCGCCTGGGGCAAACAAACGCGTTTCCTAGGAGATGAAAGGTAACGAATTGTTCGAAGCATTGCATAGCAACTGCCGAAGTTATAAAAGCCCAGCTTCGACAAGACAATGGACTTACTAACACAGATTATGACTAACAAATGACAGACCCAACCTCTCATCAGAGAGGGCGCCCCAAATGAACAGGACAGTAACTTTCATATAAAGAAAAAAAAAATCTCTGGGGCTCGACACCAAGACAGACAGACTGACCGACCGTCAGTCGCAATGTGACTTTGACTTGACAGTTAGTTGCAGTCTAGCAGCCGACAGAGTAACAGTGAAGAATAGAAGACTTCACCGAGATCAGTGGTACAAGAAGTAATTATAACGGTGAAGTAGTGGATAATAATTATACTTGTAAGTGTGTAAACATGTGTCGAATAAAGATTCGTTGAATCTGAAACCAACATGAATTTATTTGTCGCGTGACATACCCAAACACATGAAAATATACTGCACCAGCTTAGTTACTTGATATTATTTGCAGCTCACATTCAATTGGTAAAATACAACATAGCAGCAGGTTACAACATTCATTTTAGTTCTTTTAAACTTTCATAAAATAATAAAAAAATATAGCAAAAATAATATAAAAAATTAAAAGCTTATTAAACGGAGTATATACAAAGAAATTAACAAAATAACTGGACAATTTGTAAGCACTGCACTTAACAAAAGTTTACTGCAGAAAGTCATGCATGTCATCACAAATCACCCTGATTTATTACACAGATATGCTGACATAAGAGAACTGCTCCAGTATTCACACTTTACACTCCAATAGCAGGGTTTGAAATGAGGGGTAGACACCATATACTTCATTACAGAGCACTTCATTTTGACGAAGCCATTTCCAATGCTTAAGACATCATAATTCTTGTTCCCAACAATTATATATACTGGGTCAAATTCACAAGCCTAAACTGTGATTGTTTCCTTTTTAACATATGTGGTAACTGAAGAAAGCAGTCTTCTGGGATTTGGCACCGTGTATATGTGGTGTTAACCGACGTTTCAGAGGAACGTATCGCCTCCATCTTCATGGTAGAAGGAAAAATATAAGAAATCCGCAAGCAAAGAGACCGTGAGAATCGGTAAAAGCAGACTGGTGTTGGAAATATACACAGCTATGTGAGAGCAGAGAAGGAAGGGGGGAAGGGCAAGTATACAAGTCAAAACAGTAGT